AATCCTTACAAACAAAGATACATAGCGGTTTCCAGTAAATGTTCTACCAGGCCTCTTTCCTTACTCCTCACTAAAATATTAACAGTAGTGAAGGAGAAACTTCAGGAGTACTGTGCAACAATATGTTTGGGAAGTGGTGTAAATCAGATGTGGATTCTTAAAAATTCCAAGGAAATTTTGGAAAATATTTTCAACTTTATATACAACCACTCCCCACGATAAATTAAAGTCCAGGCTTTTTTATCCATGATATCATTGACAGCTGCGTTTTCAATAAAAATGGAACTCGTTAATTTACTTACCTTGTCATTGGTCATTTGCAAAATTATTTTGTTAAAAATAAACATTCTGATTGTACACACATGTTCTCTAAAGCTGATATTAAAAAGATGCTTGTGTTTATGATTGACAATATCTATGTGGTGTTTGGAGACCAGGTCTTCCAACAATCTTTTGGAATTCCCATGGGTACCAATTGCGCCCCGTTATTAGCAGACCTCTATATTTTTGTATATATATGAAGGAGAATTTCTTCAAAATCTTTTACGTGAAAAGAAGAAACACTTACTGTGGCCTTCAACTCGACATTTAGATATATCGACGACGTATTGTCAATTGACAATGGTTATTTCCATTCGTACTATGTCGATACGTGAGCTTGAAATAAAAGATCCCACAGGGTCTGACACATCTGTTTCATATTTGGATATTTTGCTAGAAAAAGCCGTTAATGGTAATCTAACAACCAAGCTTTATGATAAACGTGATGACTTTAATTTTTCAATCGTCAACTTTCCTTACTTATGCAGCAATATACCTTCATCACCTGCATACGCGGTTTATATGTCTCAGTTCATTCGATATATATGCAAGAGCATGCTCTACGTATGAACAATTAATTTCTAAAACGAGGTAAGATATTAACAAACAAGTTGATGAAACAAGATTATCAGCAGTCTCGTTTGAAGCATCGTCTCAAGCCACGGTCCAGAGTCCGCATATAGCTCTCTCCTATGGGGGAAGGAGTGAGGGGTGATTGTGCTAATAAGTGTGCTAAAAATGCTGAAATGGAAGAGGATCGTACATTTTGACCGTGGTTTGCGACGATGCGTTTGAAGTCGTCATTTCGGAAGTTCTATGGTTGATACAATGACTTTGTCAGCAAATACAATTTATCATTAAGTCAAATGCTGATTGACGTTTTTCAAACAAATTGTTAGGCCATTATTAACAACTGAATTGTCGACGGATTTTTCCGTTACCCGATCATGACAAGGAGCACAATGCGGGTGTGACCAGTCGGCAGAGGATGCTCACTCCTCCATGGCACCTGATCGCACCTCTAATGTTTTAGAGGTCCGTATTTGCTCTGCTCCAAAATTTGTATTGTTTAATGGACTTTTGAGCTTATCTCCACACATTTCATTATTTAATTTCTTATCACCGAGGTAAATTTATAAAAATTGAAAAATATATGAAAGGGGGGAAAGGGGGAGGGGTGATTGTGCTAATAACTGTGCTAAAAATTGCTGAAATGAACTATGTATTCCGTAATTAATCTATATTTTTTTTCTCCGAGGTGAATTTAATATTTATAACGGAATAAATGTATTGATGAAAGATGATAAGAATTCAAAGATGAACTTTATTCCGTTATAAATATTTTTCTGGGGAAAAAAATTTAAAAAGGGGGAGGTGGTATTCTAATATTGCTGGAATGTACTATTCCGTAATTAATGTATTTTTTTTTTTTCGAGGTAATTTGGGAATAAATGTATTGATGAAAAAAAGTATTTGAAAATTCGAATTAAAATAAAATTATGAAAAAGGGGAGTGATTGTCCTAATAATTGCTGGAATGGTGTAGAACAGGTTAGAAAATAAAAGGCCTTTGTAAGTGACATGACACTGTAAAGAAATCCCGTACAGTACCTTCTACAGAAGACATTGAATTGAATGTGTCGCAAATCATGATGCTCTACTACATGTTTAACAATATAACAATATTTACTTCCTGACAAGGCAAACAGCACTTTTTCTTATCTTTATCTTTATTCATATCTTTATTTTGAAACATTCTTTCTCTATATATACTCCTGATATTAGCATCGCGATGCTAGTACATGTAAGTTTTTGGCATTAGATGTGCCATTTTTAGAGTGATATCCCCTAAAATCTCCAAGCCCCATTTTTTTCTGATAAGGCCCCTCAGAGAAACCCTTTTCCCAGGAATACTTCCCTTTGAGGAGCTTATAATTTTGATATTTTGAAACGTCGTCTCTCTATATATATATGCTCCTATATATACTCCTGAACAGTATTAGCATCTCGATGCTAATTACACGTACGTTTTTTGGTACATTGTAAATGTATATATGAAAGTCGTCTCTCTTATATAAACTATATATTTCTTGTTCTATTCTGGATTCAGATAATGAAAGAAAAGAGAAAAAAATATAATATAAAGCGTACATATAAATATTGCATTTGTAGGAAAACAGATTATTTAAATCAAACTTCATACAATAGACATCGCAGATGAAAAGAGAATCGCTGCATGAGTGTTTGATATCCTGTGACAAACAGTAAGGGGACGGCCGTTTGATTCTGGAGGGGGGGGGTTGCTGGGAGATTTTGAAAAGAGATAATCTGACCTCAACTGTCAAGAAAAAAATTATCTAACCGTAACTGTTACTCCCCCCCTCCCTTTTCTCTTTATTTATTTTTTTTTTCTTGTTATTATTTTTTATTTCTTTATATACTTATTTTTTTTTTGGCTTGTAAAACTTTTTTTCCAGCATAAAAGAAAATAAATAATCTGTCCTTGTAAATCTAAAAAATAAAATAACCTGTCCATGACTGTAATCTGACCCGAAATAAGTCCCCCCCCCCCCCTTTTTCAAAATTAAATGGTCGTTCCCTAACATGCACTCCTATTTAACTTATAATGATACATTGCTTCCATTTTCTTTTTTTATATATATACACTTATATACTTATCAATCATTTTTTCTAATAAGGGACTTGAATAAAGGAAATAACAAATAGCACGAATAATTTTTCGCACGACCTAATATGATCGTTGTTACAACTTCCGGCATGTTATGATTTTTTATTTCAGTGCCTAAAAAATCTGTAAATTTTTGTCCTGCGCAGCCACTTTACATGGATAACGCAATGATTTTCAACAATAATATTAAGTAGTATATGTAAGTATTCTTTTTGGAAAGCACATCATATTTCGTACATTTCAGGGACTGACACTAGTTCTGAACATCATTGAACATAGGCACCTGAAATTTTATCAAATTGCAAATGAAACCTTAGATCAAAAAATCCTTTTCTCTTATTAAATCGCATGTACATGTATAGAGGGGACAAGATTTTAGAACTAGGGTTTTATTTGCAACTTATTGAAAAAATTAGGTGCCTGTCAGCCCCGTGAGTGTGTTTTCAATAATCAGATAATACACAAAAGATCGCTGGAACCTGGAATAAAATTTCAGGAGGCTTTTCATTTAGACCTTTTTAAGTTGATTTTCCTTTACTTTCAACTTTTAACATAGAATTGAATAGGGGTGCAACGATACACTAACCTCATGATACAATACGTATCACGGTATTCAGTTCACGATACGATACGTATCACAATACATGACAAGGTTAAACGGTCTTTCAAGTTTGTCATCATATATTTTTTTAAAATTTGACAGGGTTATACAAAATGTTCATATTTTTTAAAAAAATAATTAAAATAACATTTTGTTAACTTGAATTGGATTGTTAGGTAGATCTTTGAGTTGTGACAACATTCTAAACCAATGATGAACATTTACAGGGAACTACGGGGACCTTACCTAATAATCTTCCTTTTAAATTGGAATGAGAAAGGAAAACATTCTTTCTTTTATTCCTTTTATTTACGTAGAAAACCAGTTGTCATATTTCTCGTGATAATACGTTTTAGTCAACAAGACAGCGAATTTTCGTCGAAATACACACATGATGAAATATCGTGTATTACCAAAGAATACGTTTAGATCTAAAGGGTTTATCATTTGTCTTAACATCTATAACTATAATCACATAAAGTCCTTCTCCGTGTTAAATCTGAGGTCTGTAAGATGCTGGAAATGAGTTTAACTGCTGTAAATGCTTTATCGGCGACCTCATGTTTTGTGAGGAAGCCATTTTGAAATAGTAAAGAAGGAAATAAAACGCACAAAACAGATAATTCTGGACCGATTGAACCGAACCGCGATATCAGTTTAACGTATCGTGAATTGAACCGTGGAAAAAATATACCGCGATATACCGTTAAACGGTTTATCTTTGCACCCTTAGAATTGAACGGAAAGTACATTAATACCATGATTACAGCAGCGGTACAGTTCTATATGAAGTGAAATGTATATTTGTGAGGATTAGGGGGTTGCATCTTCGCTACCCTAGGGTTTTTGATCCGCTACTCTCCTCACAAACACTTTGCCAATGGTTCTGCATGTATCAAAAGTCAGGATTTTTTTTCTTGAGTTGTGATTGGAATTGATATTGTTACTTGACCAATCACCGAATCTTGACTCTTCATTCTCTGGAAAAAAAAAAGTAAGAAGATTATGAGTAAAGTATACGGTCAATTAACAGATACCGTGCTTTTGGTGGGGGAACACATTTTATACAAGAAATAATACCTGAAGCAAGCGACAAAAAAGACAATTGCTGATTGGTCGAACAATGTCGATCAACTCCAATCACAACTTGAGAAAAAAATCCCAACTTTTTTTAACACCGTATGCCAAGGGCGTATGAGGAGAGTAGCGTATCAGAAACCCTTGGCTAGCGAAGATGGGCCTGATGTACATTTTCAGGAACTGTCTGTTTAACATTTTTACAGATGACACTTTTGTCACAGGATTTCAGTACTTGTGAGATTTCAAAAGTTAATTTTTTTTAATTTAGGTGGCGTTCAATGAAATTTAAAAGTATGGTGACAAGGTGGTGGAAGTGATAACCTTGTTTCAAAGATATCAATACATGTTAAGACAAAAGAAAGAAGCTGAAAATCAACAAGCATGTCAAGTGTAATCGGAGAAGATCTGACAATTCATACAGACTCCAATGGATCTAGATCAGTAATCAAGGACAAAAGTGAGAAAAAACATCACAAACACAAGAAAGAGAAGAAGAAGGACAAGAAAAAAGAGAAGAAAAAACACAAACATAAACACAAGGATAAGGACAGAGAAAAATCTAAAGATCATGAGGTAAAAGGTTACGAGAGTTCACCCAGAGATGAATCAGTGGACAGTGTTAATCTGCAGGAAGTTCTGGAGAAAAAGGAAGCAGAGCTCTCCAATTTGAAAGATGAAAATAAGGAAGTGTGTTCTGATTCGAAAGTGAAAGTTAGTCAGAAATCTTCAGAGATTCAAAAGGAAAATGCCACTAATAGTGTTCGAACAGCTGGGAGAGATGACAAGTCAGATAATAATCTTGCAGATCAGACTCAAAATGTGAATTTGGAGACTGATATACCAATGCCTGAATCTCTAGATGATATTCCTGTACCTGCACAACCTTCAAAATCGCATTCAGACAGCAAAGACAGTAAAGGAAAGGCACATGGAGATAAAGTGACTTCAGAAAACACATCTGTGATAGTAAATACAACGGAAATTGAGATAGAAAATGTTCCTTTACCACCCCCACCATCTTTAGATAGTATTCCCATCCCAGACCAGGTCAACCCATCAAAAAAGAAAGTTACTACAGAGAAAGTAAAAGTTGTGAAGCCTTCGAAGGAGACAGCCAAAATTAACCCATCCCCTGTTCCTCCCCCTGAACCCCCACCCCCAGAAAAACCCTCAATCAACATCCCCACTCCCTCAAACTTTCAGGCCACCATACGAGAATCAATGCTCAGAGAGGTAGGGAACGCGGAGACAGGTTTGCCTCAGAATATTGTGGACGATTTCTTTAAGGATTTTTTGGCATCGAAAATGAAACAGATTGAGTCTGAGTACAAGCTAATGACAAAACAACTAGCCCTGGAGGGACAGAAAAAAGAGGGTGATGGAGTGGCCAGTTCTGTTGAAGAAATGAATAAACTTTTGGACGAAGAACTTTCCACCATAGCCACAGCAACTCAAGAGAATGACAAAAAGAAGTCTTCTAAGTGGGACTCCAAAGAGAAATCGGCCACCAACAGCGGTGAGAAGTCTGAGGTGATGACAGAAGAGAAGAAAAATGAGGAGGCCAGCAACAAACCCAAAGTTGAAGTACAGATCGGAACAAAGAAGGGAGGTAAACTGCAGATGGAGTTCAAAATCACCAAGACAAGTGCCGACATGATTTCTTCTGGGGAAATTATTGGAAAGAAGAACTTGGAAGATGGTAAGAACCTAAGAATCGTCTAACTGTTGTGTCAACATGGTCAATATTGTTGTTAAGGAAGTTGGGAGTACTCATGTAATCATATACAAGAATAAAATATGTTTTTGCTTTGGATAGGTTAAAAATAAGGGAATGTCAGGTTTGAGAGTGACACAAAATTATTTTTACAGTAAAGTGAAAGAAAAGATGCAAAACACATTTCAAATTTCTAGATTTTAGTATATTGTTGTAATCATATATTGGGTGGTATGTATTCCAACATTATACTCAGAGAGCTCTACACTATGTATTTATAGAGCTCGAAATGCACCATGTATTGGACTGTTATCATGTAGGACTGTTGAAATATCTAATAACATGAGTATTGGCAGTTTTGAGAGACAAAGTAAGCAAACATTTATCTATGTGTATTACAGGTGAAGTTTCATCATCAGATAATGATTCAGAGTCTGAGGAAAGTGATGAAAATGGTGACGTATCAGGAACTGGTTCACTTTCTGACTCGGACAAAGATTCCAAGTCTTCTAAAAAGAAAAAGAAGAAAAAGGAAAAGAAGAAGAAAAAGAAAAAACACAAAAGCAGAGAATCCTCCGAGAGTGAATCCAGAAGCAAACGTAAACATTCCCACAAATCTAGGTCAAGGTCAGTTATATTTCAAAGATTTAAACAATAAAATGCTTTCTTTGGTTGTTAGTATGAGAATTAATGTTGTAGCTATTGCAGAAAAAATACAATAACATGTATATGGGTTATGTAAATTCTTTTCTGCAATAGCTGCAATGTCAATTGCCATCCTAACAAAGAGAGAACAACATTTTATTGTTTATATTTATGTCAGTATAAATAATCATATAAAGTAGGAATAAGTACGTTAGATATTGTTTTTTTTTATATGTATGTCAGTGTATGTTTCATGGAAGAAATCGATGCAGGTGGGTTGCTTAGCGGCGTTAAAGTATTGGTGAATAACTGTGGTTACCGTAAGAAATATATATATAGGAGATGATATTCAGTGGATGTCAATATATACATGTATAAGATTAATAGTCATACTAAGAATGCTATTAAGAAATAATGAATGAAAGTTAATGTTTTTCTGATATTTAAACAGGTCACCAAAGAGGAGAAGATCATCCAGGTCAAGGTCAAGAGAAAGGTCATCCACATCTACATCTAAATATATCTATGATGCATATCAGTACAGGTTGGTATTGTTGTTTGATAAATCAAAATGCAAATAGAGGTAGATAAGAAGCAATTATGGAAGAAATGATTTAAAAATATTTAAATATTAAACATTGGGTATTTTTCAGGGACAAAGTTCGTGACAGTTATGAAAGAGACAGAGACAGACGCTACGATCGAGACCGTGGACAAGAAAGACGGAGTTACAATGACAGAGATCTTAGAGATGACAGAGGTCGCCACCGCAGACGGTCAACATCCAGGTCACGATCTAGGTCAAGGTCAAAATCCAGAGAGAGGCCATTTCGTATGTCAGCAGATCTCAGAGTCAAGATAGACAAAGCTAAACTTAGGGAAATTGCAATGTAAGGAAAAGTCCATGTGCTTAAAAGTTTTTATAATATTGTTTCAAAAATACTTTGTTTTGCATGCAAGTTGACACAGGGTTTATATTTGAGTTTTCTTTTTTTTTTTGCAATTTAAGGTTTTCATAGTTACATGTACCTCCAAATCAGATTTTAATTACAGATTTGTGTTTTATGATACATATGTACATGCATTTCATTTTAGAAAAAATGCTATTGCCATGGCTAAATCAGGACAAGTGCCAAACATTGATCTGGCTGCTATTAAGTCAGGTGGAAAGTCCATTGATGAGCTGACAGGTACATTTAATTTTATGATTATTTTCATTGACTACAGACATATTTTTTGGCAGGGGATTAATTTACGCTGTGTATGTGGTCACAAATTTTCCATGAAAAATTGTCACAGGGTATTTAAAAGGCATTTAACATATACAGTGAAAATTAATTGTCTAATCCAGATGTTGCGTAATCTGGAATCGTGTCTGATACGGTTTAAACTTTAAGTCCCTTACAGTAAATTCAGTAGTTTTAAATGTTGTCTAATCCGGAATGTTGTCTAATCCGGCCAATTTCTTTGGAACCAGTGGTATTCGGATTAGACAAGTTTTATTGTACAATGGAAACCCAAGAAAATCTGCCTATTGTTCTGTCTGCAGATTGAACAGAAACTGTGATTCTGTGAAATTATGATAACATGGAAAAATTACATTTACAGTAATTTTAAGTAAATCATCTTATCAAAAATGTTATACTATTGATAATTTATGAATAGCAGGAAGCGTAGCGGTACTGCCATGCAAAAACAGCCTGGAGAAAACACTGATTTATAGCAACAGAGTAATGAAACAATGTCTTTTTGTGAAAATATGCTCATAAGGTGTAAATTTGCAAGTTAGTTCAGGGCTTGTGATTTTATGGTCAGGGTTAACTTAGTAAAAATGGTCTAGTACTCTTACATGTAAAAGTTAATGTCAAGCCCTGCACTTGTTTAATTAGTATAGTAAGCCAGTAGAAAATGAAAAAATTTTGAAATAATTTTTTTTTCATTTCCTGTTGTGTAGATTTCTGTAAGAGGATCTCTTCCAAGTCAAAACACAGACGAGACAGCTCCTCATCTTCATCCTCAGAAGAGGAGGCTGAGGACAAAAAGGAGGAAGATGAGGAGTTTATACATCATCCATTTAAAGTCAAGGACACCAGCAGTATTGTACTGAATATTAGGGTTGGTATTCAGTTAATTAGTTTTATCTTCTAATTTGATGAAAATTGTTTCCATAAATTTAGGATGTTTTCAGAATTTGTTATATCAAAGACATACATACTTCGTAAGAAATTCATGGGTAAATAAATTATCTCATCTTATATTCAAACAGAAGAGTGTGGGTATTACAGAAGACATTCTTGAAAATAGCAGCTGTCGTAAAATGATCCTAATATTTATTCCCTTGACTTTTGTAGGATTCTAAACCACTGCCAATAAGAACACCAGCAGAAAAGCTCCAAGGGTCGGCAAATCTACGACTGCAGTTTCCTGTATCCAGTGGCAGTACACATCGCCAGAAGGAATCGGAGTGGGTGCCAGTGGAGAAGACCACCGCTGTGGCAACTACCACAACTTCAGCACCAGCAACCACCACTGCCAGCAGCACAACAACAGCAGATTCTGTTCTGATGCCGCCACCTCCTGTGCCGTCCACAGCTCCACTTCCTGTGGATGTTCCACCAAATCCAGTCCGTCCGGAGGATAGGATATTTCCAGAGACTCCCAATGTGGTTTGTAATTTTTTCTGATACTAGTGGCCTAACGTATATCATTGTGGGAGAAAATAGTCTATAGGGGATCATTTTGAAATCTGAAAGTAGGTTGATTATGTTTGATCAATTGGCAAAAGCAGGTCAAATTTTAACAACTCCATGATTGCTTTGATGCTGCTCAAAATGATCCTGAGTGGCCATGATATTGAAAACATTGATAGAACTCGTATTTCTGCTGTGGTTTATTCATCACTGAAATGTAATTAAGTTTATTTTCATCTTTTGGGTATAGACATAGATGAACCTCAATGGACATGGTTTCAAGTTGTTAGTTTTCACATGTCCTTATAATATCTTTTTTTTCAGCAGTGCGCTCAATATTGAACAGTCAAATGTTCTTGGGTATACTGGTATTTGCAATGCAAACTCACTGTTCAGTAAATTACTAAGATATTTAAGCCAGTATTCTGTTGACTTTTAGAATTTTTTTATTGTAGATCATATACATGTATTAGTTGTATAATAAATTTCTTCATTGTTGTTTATTTAAATAATTATATTCTTAAAGTTTTTAAAGTTATAATGATATAGTTTTTATGTACTTATTTTGGGTTGATACAAAGAGCCTGAAGAGTTTGTATATTGTTTTGAATTGTTTTTAGACGGTGGATATTGGGTCCATTATATCAGAGAGACTGAGTGCTTTCAAGAAATTGAAGGAGAATCCCCACGACATAGAAGCCATGACAACTCTAGGAAAAGTTCAGGAAAAAGTAAGTACAGGTGTACTTTGTGTACAGTAAAAGCTAATATATTACTGTATACAGGGTTATGTTCTAGGTATTATTTTTGTCCTTTCACACTTGCAAACAATTTTGCTCCATTTTACATTTGCCCCGACACACTTCTGTTTAAGAGATTATGCTTTTTTTTTTTTTAATTCACCTTGTTTTAAATTTGCCCACTTATGCTTAGGGCAAAGGGGGCAAAAATAAAATGGGGATGAAAATTTCTCTGTATACCGTATATACTTGCCTATAAGTCGGTCCGCCTACAAGTCGGTTGTATTTTTTAAGCTTAAATTAGAGGGACTGACCAACTAAAATACCAATCTTTTTATAGCTCGCATATAAGTCGGATAAAGAGTTTTGGACCAAAGTTTAACTCCCCAAAAACCGACTTGCAGGCGAGTATATACAGTACTATGTAAAGCTGGCATTTTGTGAACTTCATATTGAAACAACAGTAAATAGTACATGTAAGTGTACAAATGATTACATTATTTTATACATGTAGGGGCCTCAGCTGGGCTTACATTATTTAGAGATTACAAAAATCTATCATAGTTTACATTACAGTGTAGCATGCAGACAAATAGGTGCATGTACATGTATAATGAAACCTATCAAGTCATTTATGCAGCTCCCTTGACAGAAGTTACTGGGACATTTTGTTATTGTGTCCGTCATTCATTAATAAACTTGGCAAAAAACTTTTATACTGTATTTCATGTAAGATAAATGATATACAGTCAAACTTCATTATCTCAAACTTGATGGGACTGAGAAAAAAACTCAAGCTATATCCCGGAATTCCAGATATTGAGGGTAATATTCTTAAAGAAAATGTGCTTGGGACTTCCAAATCACTTAGGCATATCCATGCTATTTGAGATATCAATATTTGAGAAATTGAAGTTCAACTGTATATACACGTACTTATGTTATGGTGGTATAGGAATTAACGATGAGACAATTTGTGTTTCATAAACACACTTTTGTACCTGTTTCGTTCAGAGAATGAGAAGTCAATGTTGATTTAAATTTGAATTTTGAACATTTTGTCTTGCTGTTCTTGTAGGCTAGTCTTTGGGCCCAGTCCAAAAATCTTCCAGGAAAATTCATGGGAAGCACAGGTGCTCATGTCATGTCCCAAGAGGAGCTAATTGGGCCAGACAAAAAGAGGCAGGCCTGGGCCAGAAGGGTAGGTGTACAATTTGTGTGGGAACCTGTAAAAATGTAACAAACATGCTCTGTTATTGCTCTTTTGAAGATGAATGCATTTTTTTTTATGAATTGAAATATTCTTTGAGTACTGTAAACTGAATTACAGGTTGGACCTGAAAGTGTCTTCAAAAATTTATATTTTACTCTGTAAGGTACTGTTTGTCATAAAGTTTTTGTCTGATTTTCATTTGAATTCATGGGAATTATTACTCCCCACCCTATAGAAAATTTACTTTAATTAAAGATACAGTGTACATGTACATTGTATATATAAGCATACAGCATGTACATATTTGCTTAAATGTAGTAACACTTAACAATTTATATAGATTTAGAGAATTTTAGAAAATTTTCAAAAGCAATCACAGATTAGCACTGTAAAATTTAAAAAAAAAAATCTTCAAAACCAACCTTCTTGGAGGGAGGGGGTGGCAACAGGGCAACAAAGAGCATGTTTGATACAGCCAAACTGTTTACTTCCAGACATCCAAAGAAAGATTCGTGTACTGTAACTCTGCCATTGTCCAGGATACTCAGAAGATGAGAGCTGTTTATAAAGAAATTTTCTGGTCTCCTTGGTGCATATTTTGCTATAAAACAAATAAAAATATTAAAAAATTTGGGAATGGTAAAAGGGAAAATGTTGTATTGAAAAATTTGAATCTTTTTACCTGACATGCAGAATTATTTAATTTAAAATCATGACTGTTGAAAGAAATATTTAACATATAGGTTTCTTTTCTTGCACCTTGGAGGCCATGTTTTGTCTTATAAAAATGTCCCACACATTTGCCCTGTTTGTGTATTCTTTTTTTACAGGGTTTTTTTCATATATTTTTTTAAAGCAAGACAATTGTGTGAGACATACTCCCAATACAGCTAACAGTCCTAATGAATTAAGCTTTGCAAGATCATTTTGATTGAGATGGGGGGGGGGGGGGGAGGTTAATTGAATGGGGAGTTAGGGGAGGAGGAGAGGAAAATTCACATTGAATTTTCTTTCATTAAAGAAGTGATCTTGTTGAGCTTAATCATACAAAAAGAAAGAAAACTGAAACCCAATTTCTCATGTGAAATGTTGCCATATACAGCTACTTGTATAGGAAAGGATAGATCTGAATTTTTTCATGAAAATGCAGAATTCAGAAATGCATCTATTCTATCCGCAAGCTATATTTTGGCAACATTCACATTTTTGAGAACTTGTTTCAGGGTCTTTAATCAAAATACATAGTTGACAGCCTACCACATTTGGCACATTTTGATGTTACCATTGGTAATCATGCTGCACTGGATTCTGCTTGGCTGAATTGTGATTCAGCTACTAGCTCCAGGAATCTGATTGGATGATATTTAAATGAGGGTGGTAAGTTACCACATTGGACATAACACAGTTTCAATACAAAAAGGAACTGGATGTGTCTTATCACCAGGTTTGTTTTAGACTGAGATCAATATAAAAAAGTGATTTTTTTTTATGATGACCATGCAAGAACAGGATTTTGGATTTTGATGTTTGGATTAATATTTTGGGATCATTAGATTACTAAGAGGCTTTTTTCATGGAATTGATTACACCTGCTCAGTGTAAACTCTATATTAAGCATACATATGTTGAATTTTTTATTTTGAACAGTGATATATGTACATGTAGATCCCTTTAAGAAATTTTTCTGTTGTAATAACAGTAAATGTAGTCATTGATCCTTGTTACATTCCAAATTCAAATTGTACATTGTAGAAAAGGAAAACTAAAGCTAAGCCGAAAGAATTTAAAAACAAGTATTCCACGGAAGTTGTTAAAAAAATTATCTACAGAAGTCTGAATCGACGATATTATAAACCCCTGAAGGTACTGTGATCAAGTCAGATGTTAAAAAAAAAATCCTCTGAAGGAAAATTCTCAAGAAAATATGAACTGCTTTGTCTATTATAGTTTACGGTTTGTAAAAAATGCTTAACTCTTCAAATTAAGAGTAAATAATTTCAGAGCTTGATCACAGATACCTTAAATTATCAATTTTTATATCATTTTGCATTTAAAGAGTATGAAGTAGAAAGGCGATATGTATGGTTGATAACTCTTTTTTTCTTTTCTTGTTTTTTTCTTTTTTAACAGTTTTTCTGTATAAAAATATCATTTTGTGTGTCTAATTATATCTGGGTGTTTGCAGGATCAGTTTGTTAAAGCTGCTCCCCTCCAAAGTGGCATAGGGATGGCTCTCCTCCAGAAAATGGGCTGGAAGCAGGGGGAGGGACTGGGGAAAAACAATGAGGGGTCTGTAGAACCCTTGGCCCTGGACTTCAAGACAGACAGACGAGGTGTGCACTGATTTTTAGCATTTTGAAGTGATGGATAATTCAAAATTGAAATAATGGCTACAAGTTTTGAATATTGAAACATATTTAATTTCTAATTTTTTTTAAGTTTCATTTTTAAAATTTTTCTTAGTTACATATTTGGAAAACAAAAAACAACAACATCAAAACCATTGTCGCAGGCCACAGGTTTTGTGTCCATTCTGGATATAGAATGGACACAAAACCCATTGCTTGCGACATTGCATTTAAACTTTCACTTTGTAATTAAATTGATAAAAAGTTTGTAGAATTTGTTTCTGATAAATTTGATAAATATACATGTATAGAGAGAGAAAGGTAAACCTAAAATGATCATTCGTTGTTTAAGCACATCCTAGATTTCAAGTACATTTGTAAATGAGTCTTTAACAATTCTTAATATTTTTGGTGTATGATATTACAGGACTAACATCCACTGGAGAACAAGTGCCTAAAACCTTCAAAGGAGGTGCTCCTGTAGTTAGAGATTTATCAGGTATAAAATTACTGCCTTAAAACCTATAAAAGGGGGCCTCAGTGATCAGATGTTAAACAGGTACAAAATAACTGCCTGAAACCTTTAAAGATGCTCTTTCGACCAGAAACATGTATTTTTTAAAAGCATCATATTGATATTTTTTGTTTGGAAAATTATATATACAGTCAAACTTCATTATCTCGAACTCAATGGGACAGAGAAAAAAACTGAGAGATATCTGAGGGTTTGAAATATCAAGGGTAAAATACTTAAGAAATATGTGGTTAGAACTTCCCAATCACTTCGACATATCCATGGTATTCAAGAGATCCGTGTTTGAGATACAGAAGTTCAACTGTATGGATAAGTTTACACAAAAAAATCACTGTATGTTTTGTTCTGTTTTACAATAATTATGTTACTATGGTTACAGGTAAACATCCTGTATCAGCCCTGGTGGAGCTGTGTAATAGAAGGAAGTGGGGAGCCCCTGTGTTTGAACTGGTTCATGAGAGTGGACCAGACCACAAGAAAAACTTCCTGTTCAAAGTAAGCTCAGTATCATAGTGAAGTTTTACACTGTATAAACCATATCTGTACATGACCTTCCTTTACGAATAAGCCAATGTGTACAGTTATTAGGCTTGTATTAAATGTTAGTATAAAATACAACGGAAATTTGAAAATTAATTTTGTTGTATGTCTGTTTAAAATGAAGAAATTTCAAAGTGTACCTTTATTTGAAAGCAGATCAAAAATACAGTTTCACTTTGAAAAAAGTGACATTACAGTTTGACCTGTTGTTAGAGTGTTTTGAATTCTGCATACATTGAGCAATTTTTCTTTGGTAAAAAACAGTTACTTCCCTTTTGACAGATCTTTTGAAGCATTTCAACTGATAAGTCTTAAGTACAAAAGCATTATATTTGCCCATCACTACTGAAATAACTCATTCGCATTTCATGTAAATAGTCATTTTAGGGTAAATCCGATTTTTTGTCATCTTTTACAGGTAATTGTCAACAGGACAGAGTACCAGCCAACAGTCGCGATGAACAACAAAAAATCAGCCAAAGCAGCTGCTGCCACGTGTTGTCTGCAGGTTCTAGGGCTAGTACCCAGGGAACCACCAAGTTGATGTGTCTGTGTGTACAGTTTAAGGTACCCTTCTGGTGGCTAGGACCCATGCCCAGGGACCTCCTCAATGTGACATGGGTGCACGATTATGCTGTGAAGTACATTGTGTACTGGGACCCACTAGAATGTTACACTGTATGTATGAAGTTGATGTATGGGGAAACTTGAAGTGATGGTATGCCTTCATTTGCAATGCAAATGAACGGACAATTTTAAAAGAAATTGATGTATAAATGAAAAATTTATAGTGCACATGTATGAAAAGTTGTGAAGATAGGATAATCAGTTTATGGCAAAAATAAAAAGTAATTTTTGTGTATTTTTGAGAATATTTAGAAGCTTAATATAAGCTTTACCACAAAAACAAAATTGCAAAGTTGAATTATAAAAGAAGCAGGTGAATTTGTAAAATATGATGTCATAAGCAATAGTATGATAAAAAAAAAATGCTTTTAAACATGTTAAGAAACTGATGAATTTTTTAAAGTGTTAAAATGGTACATGAAACAATGTTTAAATATTTTTTTTTAAATATCTGGCTTAATGGAAATCGTACATATTAATAATTATATATGCATGTTTATTTGTAAACCTGTTCCCCAACACAACCTTATTCACCCATTTGGAAAAAAAAAAGAAATAAATTATACTGTGAAATCACTTACTTTTGTAAGGGGTTAATTTTCGTTGTTTTGAGGATGAAAAAATCCCACGACTTCATGTCCACCAAGAAATGTTTATTTTCATATGTTTAATTATTCAACAATTCTTCACCCAAGAAATCAAATCCCCATGAACCCATATTTATTCCTCAAACCATGAAAATTGCCCCCCCCCCAAAAAATATGTGATTTTCAAGTATGTCAGAAGTATGCGGAAAAGGTTCTACAACGTTCTTGTAATGTGAGAAAAAAATGTTGGTATGAATTTTGCTGTTTATTGAGTGAAATGGAGGAAATTTTTTAAATTGTACACATGAGTGAATGTGCTTTAAATAAGTCTAAGACTGGTTTATATGCTCACAAATATGTGAATTATATACTGATTGTTAATTTTGTGGTTATTGATTGAAAAACAAAATTAAAAAAAAGTTCAAAAAAAAGATCATGATATGGCATTTTTATTTAAATATATATTGACCTAAGTCTACAGTTTCTTAGTAAATTGAAAATTTAAACTATATGTAAACAAATTGCTTGAAAGCTTTGGCAGGTGTTAACTGACTCTGTAAAGCAGAGTCATTATGAATTGATACTGTATTAATTAATGCCGTTTTCTCAAGAGTGATAATCCATTGTTAAGATATGTAACTATCGAAAGATCCTGTTCAGGGACAGTGCATGTCATGCTACTGGATTATATACATTGTAAAATACTCATCTGAGTACTATTAAATGCATTATTCAGCCTTTTCAGGGATAAGCTAATGGAACAGGGTATTTAGTTATACCTTAAGGGTCCATCTACGACATGTACATGTATCAGTTTTGTTGACTATATTCAGTCATTTGAATTATGTAGTAACCTTTTATAACATGTGGTACCTATATTTTTTTAGATCACTAAAGCAGCACTGAAAGTTTATTAGTGAACTTTTCCGATCACCCATTGTCTGTCTTTAAACTTCACACATTTTCGATTTCTGCTGAAGTACCATTGGCACAAAGCATCCTTGAACGAAGTTGGGATTAATTAAAACTGGTTTAAAGGAAGGGCCAAACCCCCCTCCAAGGGGAGATAATCAAGAAAACGCAAAAATACGAAGTGGTTTAAAAAGCTGAAACTTACGTGAACGCTCCCTGACAAAGTGTAGATCATAATTTGTTCAAACCATGGCCTCTGTCGGTGGGGTGGGGCCACGAAAGAAGATCAAAACTTTACATTTGAATACATAGGCAAAATATTTGCAAATTTTCTTCTCACGGACCACTGAGCCAGAAAAGAAACGTGTGAAAGCTTCCTGACAATGTAGGGTCAGAGTTGTTGCGGCCCATTGTCCTCTTTCAATTGTTTGTTTACGGAAAATAGCCAAAAGATTGAAACGCGGTGCTTTCAAGTTGCGTTGGCAACACATGGCCGTAGGAACCGGGGGGAGGCATGCCCAATAATTTTGCCGATATATAGAATACTACAGAAAACATAGCTACTATATCCTTGTGCCCCCTCAATAATAACGGGTGATGACCCCCTTTTTTTTTGCTTGTCAAGGAATTTTGGCACATGTACTTGATAGCCCCCCCTCCCCCCCCCCCCATCTGAAAATGTATGGTTGTGCCCCCTCGAAGTGAAATAGCTTCCTACGGGGCTGCAACGTACATGTGAACTGGTGGGTAATCTTATTTAGTTGTCTATGGGACCTCACGGTCTTATAATGGTTGCAAAGACAACATTGGTATTAATTATTGATTGCCTAAAGTGCAAAAATCACATTAGTGGGGGGAGGTAATCTCTCATTTCAAGTTGTTGCGCCGTATTCCACTCTGTGTGACTATTTTCTCTAAACTTGATATCAATAATTTCGATCACAAACCTCATGATATTTATTACGAAAAACTGTATGTCGTTAGAAAAAGTAGATAAAAATAAAAACGAATTTCGTAAAAATTCCATATATGGATGGAAAATATGTACTACTTGTAAAACTTTTATTACACTCGTTATGTATGAAGAACACATATAATCAGATTTTAAAACAAGATATTGATAATTTTTAAAAGCTTACACATTATTTTATGTGAATTATTTAAAAGACGTCACAGCAGTGGTCGCGCGAAAAATAATTAGGATCGAAGGATAAGTTGGACTAAGCGAAAGTAATTTTTACGACAAAAAGACCATAGAAAATACTAAATGCCGAAGTTCTTTTTATCTTTAAAACGTATAATTAACACCTTGAATGATAATTTCCATTTAAAGCATTCTTAATGGGATGATATTTACATACACGGTGTTTTAAAAAAGAGCCGAGCCCAGTATTTTTTCCTTGCGTGAAATAAACACGAGTTTGGACCTTGAACAAAGACTCAATTTCGCTTTGTAAACTTTCATAGTGTTTGTACAAAGGCTTCCAAAGACTCTTTGAATATAATTACTTAAAAGTCAAACAGCTTTCTGCATTTTCACCTGCGGAGATAAGTTATTACTTAGAATGGACACATTGTATTATGAAGTTTTCTGCAAACCTACTTGTTTGGCTCCCTGAGTGCTGATTAACAAAAATTTCTTTTATGAAATCTGACAAGTCCATTGAAAAATGCTATTGTAAGTTTGACATGAACCCTTCATAATTTTATCGTTTACCATGTTCAAGAGCTCTTTAGCATTTTTTTAGCTGAATGGGGTTGATCCATATTTAGTTTGCCTAGACAGGAAAAATGAATAATGCTTAAATTTTTAATCGCGGTCCAAGCAAACACAAATTTATATTATTCACCGTCCGTCATAGATGAAGTTTATCGTTTCGAACTGGTTTACCAATGAAAATAATTTGACATTTTTTTGAAAAATGATAGGAACTTCTTATTGTACTCGTATATATATTTATTGATTCGAGAAATGTAAACTCGATATGAAGACTCGAGTAAATAAATAACGGTATGAATTTATTTACACACCCTTGAAAATTGAAGCCTCCTTGCGCGAACGATAAGATACAAAATCAAATAGGACAAATAAGAAAACCGCGCCATTATCGAACGAGAGAGCTCTCCAGACTATTCAATGATAATAAAAATTTATTCTTCATTTATATATTTTTCGCTGAGGACGATACAAGTACATTGCTGCTCGAGGAAAGGAGCGTCTACTTTTTCAGGAAGGAATAAACGCGGCTCCTATGCCACTGATAAAATATTACTAAATGAAATGAAACATGGCTTTATTTATCTCACTGTTAATTGGGAATAACATAAAAATCGAAAAACAACCACGGGCTTCCAACACTACCCCCCCCCCCCATATCAAGCATTTTCTTTAACAACGCATGTTGCTAAAGCTCTTTACTAGTGTCTTTAAAATGTATTTGAAATGACATGTCGATGCAAATTGCTCAATAGAACTGAACTTGCAATTAAAGATTTTCACAGAAGGATTTCAAAATATGACATTTAAAAATCAGCATGACATATGTCAGAAAGTGTATTTACTTAATCAGTTGTCCTAATAAATCAAACAATTTTACTTTATACCAGGAAGAAAAAATTAGTATAATCTTAGCATATACAAAATAAACATTAATTATTTTTGACAGGTTAATTCTTTAAAGTTTTGTTGTTAAATAACAAAGTGAAAAAACCAGTCCAATGGATTTTCTATACCCAGGCTCCAGTTATCTCTTTTAATATTATTCCATATTTAGTAGAACACACATATATTCTTATTCTGACAACTTTCTTATTGTCCATATATCGATTTAGGGTGCTCTTGCAATTCATCTCATATAACCTTTCTTCGCATTCGTTTCAGAAAAACCACATATAGATTTATTTTCTGCGGTAAACGTCAGAATCATATTGGAGTTGCTCTGAGAGTTGTAAACGCATATTTTAACCACATCCTGTGCAATATCGATTGGCAATAGCCATTCTTTAGAAGATAAAGGTTTTTTGAGGTCTTTTAATGATTCGTTTCTGTCAAAGTCGTGCTCGCTGCACCTTTTTTCCAATAAAATCGATCACCGGTCATCCGTTGATTTAGTTCAAAATCAATTATGAAAGTGATTAAAATGATTTTCTTTATTGATGTTTTATATGGTTAGTTCATTAAATGTGGCCCAAAGACTATAATGAAGAACCGTAAAGTTATTACTGTAGTCTAAGCGACGTCTTCAACAGCATTAAAACTATTAATTAACCCGAAATAATAGGGCCATAGTAATGAAGAAATAAGCAGACTCATTCCTCTCTCATGAAATACTCGTTTTCCGGGTAAGATGCTATGGGAAGAACCGATAATGCACGGGTAAATTGCTAAAATTATCCTACGTGCTACAAAGCACTTTACTGACAGTTATTTAAAATTTGCCTCTGTTTATGTAAGGTAGAGAAATAAATTGGACTAGAATATTAACATGATTAAGATAAAACTTACTAATAATAAATGAGTATTATGTGTCTATGAATATATACTAGTAACACTACTGTAAAAGTGGAAATTCTCATTTCAAGCATTGCATGGTAAGTGTTCGACAAATATTATGAGGCTTAGAACATCACTATCTTCTGTTAAAAAAATGACTAGGGACAGATCCAGTTTTTTTTCTCAGAGTGTGTGTGTGTGGGGGGGGGGGGGGGGGGGGTAAGAAATGTCAAACTCGGATTTTTTTAATAAGCAAAAAGAAAAATAAGAACTTGCCCAATGCCTAAACCTGAAGTGGTGATGGGTGGGGAGACACTTTCCTAAGTCAAATTTTCTTCATATATAAAATTTAATAACTCTGTAGATCCACCCATGATGTCCATGGAAAATAATTGTAATAATAATCTAGCATATACAAGGTATTTAAGAAAAAAAGGTTCAGCAGCCTTGCGTTTTTTTTCTTCTTTACAATAACATTGTTGTTAGATGAATTTAAAAAATGGAATCATGAAACAAGTACAACTCTCCTCTGATTTTCTTGTCAGTTTTGAAATTTACCGATACTGATGGAATTAAACCCACGACTTCTAAACAGGAAGTCTTTCTGGTTTGAATTTAAAAAAAAGAATATTTAAAAAAAAAACTTTATAAAAATAAATCCTATCACTTTTTAAAACATAATGTCATTTATAAATTTTCAATCTGCAGTTGAAAATGATTACACATGCATGACAAAGTCATGTAATCATTTTCAACTTTAGATTGAAAATTAATAAACGACAATAGCTAGCTTGGTAGAAGTCATCAGAAATTAAACGGTTTAGTTTTCATTTGTCGCTTCGAAAGTTTTCCTTACAGTGTTATCCATGCAAAATATTCAGATGATAGATTAGTAATGAGAGAGGAAGAGAGGATCGCGTCCTTGATACAAAGAATTCTTTCAAAATTGGAAAAAAAGACGTCCTTGTCAGCTATTGATCTAATTTATAGATAAGCATGATCATTTGG